GGCTTATCAACTACAGGCGTGGTTGCGTTTGGCGGCTCCAGGTGGTTGGCATGGCGATTCTATTAAATAGGTTTCCTTTTGTGAAAAACTTTACTTGATGCTGTGCTGCCCATTTTGAGGTTTTTTCGTGAATCGACAATGAAAAAATATGTGGTATATAAATAATGGCATTCATTTCGTTCACCTTTTCTTATACAGATTAGGGATGTTATAAATTTTTGATATTGTATCTTAAACTATGTTCACTTCATGATCCCAAATTTGCGATATATTGAATGTTAAAGCATAAGTTTTTGTAAATTATCTGAGGTAAGGAATTTCCAAGGAATTCTGCAGAAGCAAGGTCTGGAAACAGTACACGAGGCGACAGAACAGGATGTTAAAAAAGTTGTAAAGTGGCCTCAGGAACTCCAGTGAGGCTTTCCGGAGGGAAATTCGTGCATTCGTCGAGGATACCAATGGTAATTTCGAAAATTCCCTCCAAAGTTCACTCCTCCTGATTATACTTACATCCACTTCCCAAAATGTAGTGGCAACGAACACGAGGCCGCCGCTGAAAAACTCCAATACCCCTTAGCCCCATTTGGATAAGCCCTGGAGGTAGAAAAACATATTTCAGTATTTCCTCCTTAAAATAACCAGCTAATAGGGTTGTACATCGTATTTCTGTTAATTAGCAGAGTAATTCATGCCGATTTAGGTTTTCACCGTAAGTCCCTGCATATATGCAGAGAAAACTATTTCACAGGAAAGAAGGCTATGATCGCAACTAAAATACTAAATAGTAAACATTTATGCGCACGGAATCTAGGTTATGGCTTATGCCGACGAGGTTGTCACAATTGTATCGCGCCCATTTCCTGTGGTCATATGCGAAATTTTGGAGAGGGCTCTAAATAAAGTAGATTCCTGTACCACAAACTGTTCGCTGACTGCTTTTGCCAAGAAACCTTTAAAAACAAAACCAAATTATGCAATTTTGCTAAACCTAAATTCAAGCATATATCACTGGATCTCTGACGCAATGTAAAATATCGTTAAAAAAACTTTCATCGAACAAGTCAATCTGAAGCATCCTTTCGCCTGAAGGACTACTCACGCACTTTCCAGCTGGATGCGTTTGCACCGAAGGAGGCGGTAAGTTATGCACGTAAACACCATACGGTTACATTACGAGAATGCAGAAAAATACTTTCACAAATGGAGCGCAAGCAATTCAGGCGGTCTCTTCTTCTGGCGGAGAGTGTTGGTATCAATTTCTGTTCAATTCTAAATTACCTAGGACAATGGCATATAAACGGAAATGAGACAGCGCATGAACCAGCGAGGTACGGCTCTGCACAATATGTGTGTGAAGAAGTGAATCTGTATAGGATCTTATATGTTTAACAGATTTCCTAACTTTAAATAAAAATAATGCCCAAAATTTTTGCGCTATTTTATCAAAGAATTAGTACTAAATTTTCAACGCAATACGGCACAACCTATATCCTAAATATATATTTTAGCTTTAAGTTTAGGTGTATATATGTATATACATTTGAACATATATGTATGTAAGTATGTCACCAAGCGACATCGTATGCTTAGTTGTACATTTGTAAGCCCTTAAATATTTGCGCAATAATCATGAATATGTGGTGAAAGGCTTTATATACACATAAATACTCGTATATTAACAAACACATTAATAAGAAAAATAAATTCATATTTATACCTTTCATGAACATGAAATTGTATTAAAACTTTGGTCCGATGTTTGTACACCACAATTATGAGAACACACAACCACATGAGCTACACTTGTGGTCAGCTGATTCTTGACTATTTTGTTTATTTAAACCTTATGATTTTTAATAAAAGTGTATCACATTATATAACAAGCACCATATAAATCCACATTCTAAACTTTCTACAAAAATTATAAAAATTCAGTAAACTTTACCAATTTTCTCTATAAATTTAAAATTTTAGGTACGTAGTTCAATTTTAATAGGACAAAGTGCAAATTTCAAGGCACTAAGAAATCACGTTGATGCTTTTTTTGTTGACTAGGAATTTTCCACATATTTAAAGAAATTGTGTATTATGTCAGCTAAAAAATTATTAAAAATCAATGCGATTTTCTAGCGTCTTCAAACTAGGACTTTAGCCTACCAAAATTTAGTGAACTAGAAAAATTCATACTTAAAATTTTTCTAAAAATTCTGAGAAAAATGCTTGAATTATTTACACCGTGAAATTTCGTGAGCTATTTTCTAATTAATTGTGCTAAGTGAAAATCATTTATGTAGTACAAGAAATTGTTTAAAATATGCCGCAAAAGGCTGAAGCAACAATTTTCTGTTGTTAATGAAAGGTATGAAGCTTTCGGCATAGCCGAAGACAGCACCAACCTTACATGCTATAAGTATAGATATTTGTATGTGTACATATGCATATAAATGTTTTCGCTTATTTTTTAAAATGTACATACATATATACATGCATACATTAGACCGTATCACGACGTATGGGCCGAAAATAAGTTCAATTCGTTCTAAGCGACTTTGAACACTCGCTATGAGGGTATTTCATCGGTTTTTATAAAACTTTTNCATACATACATATATACATTAGACCGTATCACGACGTATGGGCCGAAAATAAGTTCAATTCGTTCTAAGCTACTTTGAACACTCGCTATGAGGGTATTTCATCGGTTTTTATAAAACTTTTTCATTTCATGACCGATTTCTACAAGTTATTTGTCATTATATTAAGAAACCCTATAGTTGTACAGACATACATACATGAAATTGCAAGCTGTTTTTTTGTCGGCCACCCTGTACCGTATATTATGTGTCAGAAAAATAATTTCCCGGTCGAATTATGACACTTCGGCAAAAAAAAAATACTAACCCATTTTCATTAAACAGCAGCAAACTACTAGTGAATAGTGTAAAAGTTCACTTTTAAGTATACTTGTACTTTATTGAAGTAAATCCTTTCGGTATTCAAGTTGGCTGCATCGTGCTAGGGGCTATTAAGCTTGGCAAATGTATAGTCAAGGTGCTCTTCATCAAAGCAGAGCTTCCTGCTATTGATTGGAGAAAAATATTACAACTTCTTAGTTTCGCATGACAGGATAATATTTTGCGAGGAGAGTGTATAGACTTTTTAATACCATTACAACGGTATATCATTTATAGAAATCGAGCATCAAGGAAAGAAGTTGTAGAAAAAAAAACCCGGGGGCCGAAAAACAAATATTTGTGGTATTCACAACCGCTTGGAAAAAGTTGAACTTTTTTTGCGATGCGGCCTAATGTGCATATACATGCATATTGCATATGTAGATATACTTATGTATTTACCTATACAGTATTTATGCTTTGATTTCATTGAAAACTTTTGCATTCACCCTTAGCTTTGCTCATTACTAAATGCGCTGGGTTTCCCGCATGTATACATATATACATACATACAATAAAACATCATAGCATAAATATTTTTTAATATAATTTACTATTTTCTATGCTGTCCCCTTTCATAATAAGTTTATTTATATACGCGTGGCTTTAGAAAATGTGGGTATGTGTGGGCATGTGTTCATGTGTTTGACCACATATGTATGTATGTATGCATGCATGCATATTAAAAAATTTCATATTTTTGCTTCTTAATTCGCTTTGATGCTATGAAAATATTAATCCGCTTTATACATTTTTTTTGTTTGCTTTTTACAAACTCAGCACTCAGACATTATATATACTATTGAAATATGAATGGGTTTTTGTGAATTTTATTTTGCAAAGCTCATTTTTTGAATTAGTCATTAGGAATTTTATCCTTTTTGTGGTCTAATAATTGAACATAATAATACGCTAATTTAAAAATTTTTCGAAGTTAAAATACAATTTTTTCGGGTCTTAGCGTTTGTGATATGTTAAAATTACCATTTAAGCTGAAACGAGGGCTTAAATTTAATTTCATATTAATTTTTTACGTAAATAGAAACGGGAAATGTTATTAGAAAAAAAAAAACCAAAAAATGTTTAAAGTGTTTTGCTTTTTTCTACATATCTATGAGCTTTTGACAAAATATCTTCTGTGCTTTCTGTAGGTTGGAATTGAAAGTCAATTATAAGGAGCTTACATTTAAAAATTTTTAATTTTTATTTAACTTTCGTTAACAGCCGCTTTTACCAGCAATTTAAATGAAAAATGATTTTTTATTTTCTGTCAATTTCCATATAAAATTAAAAAAAAAAAATTAAATCATTTTTCACTTAAATTGCTCACTCGAGAGAAATATCCAAATGTCATATATCTACAGATGTGTATGCACATTAGCGTGGTTCAAAAAAAAAAACTAAAGTCGCAATTTTAATGCTCTCCCCTTCTGGGACTGTTTTATACCGAAAAAAATTATACCCCTGTTTTTCTTATTTTGTAGTTAAAAAATATTTAGAGGTAGCTCAAAGCACTCGAAGTTTTCTTTGTATTTTATATAGGAAAAACAGCTTTCCGTAGAAATGGTATGGAATTTTTGAAAATCAATGTGTTTGATCGATTTTTTGATATCAAAATTAAAAAGAAAAAACAGGCGTATAATTTTTTCGGTACAGAACAATACTAGAGGCTGAGTGCTTTAAAGTTCCGACTTTATCTTTTCACATGCATTTTTTTTTGTTCCACCCTAATGATCATATATTAAAATGAAGTCGGAATATGCAAGCGCAAATGAACCTGAAATCTTTCCAAAATATACATGAAAGGTTAATTTCTAATGGGGATCAGCAAATCCCAAACTAAGGCTGTACATCTAATCGATGAGCATTTGTCTTTTTGAGCAGTTGTAATTTTTTTGGCCAGATAAAGTCAGATTTATATTACATATACATACGTATGTGTTTTAATCAACCTGCTAAAAAAAAAAAATTTAAATATCGTATAAACTCGTAAATAATTTTCGTAACTAAGTATAAGTTTTAATAGCTTTTCTTTTAATTTTTCAGGGTCGGCGAAGATGGTACATGGGATCAAGTGCCACAAATTTTAACCAAATCGAATGCTACTTCATATCAAGTTACTGGACTTATACCATTCACCGTTTATAGCTTTCGCTTGTTGGCTGTGAATAAATTGGGCATCAGTCCACCGTCCAAGGAATCTTACTACATTGTTACACTGCGAGAGGGTAAGTAATTTTGTTTAACATAAACAATTTATAAGCCATAGGATTTAAACTCATAACAACTTAAAGAACAGAAAATTGACATATAAATATATATAGTTAAGTATGGAGATGTACTTTGAATAACTCACCAACCATTTAAAACATCCATGTAACTAAGAAGCTACACCTCGTTGGGATATACTTAATTCCAAACGATCGGGATTGGTCACGATTAAGATTAAGATCGCGATTGTAATTGAAGTTAGGATTAAGAAGGCTGCAAAAAACGCAAAAAATATTCAAAAAATTATCGAAACAACTTTGTGTTAAATGTCATCAGATTTTCACCGGTCGTTCGATTTTCAAAAATAAAGTGTCAAATTATATGGCTTGGCCTGTAGATGTGCAAAAAGGTTTGCCTTTTTCAAAAAAAGTTGCCACCTATAAAAAAAAATAAAATTCACATTATTCATAAGTTAAATCACTTATTTATAATAAGGGCATCAGTCGAAATGTTCCTAAAAAGGCTTTGTTTAATAACTGCATGTAGGAGGGTTGCCACTTGTTTAAAAAATCAAACTCAATTTAAATTAAGGCTACATAGGTTGTTTAAATATGTTATCACAACATCGGTGTCATGCGAAAGAGGTTTAAGAAAGTTGCAGTTTTAGAATATTTTGAAGTGGGTTGCCACACATTTTTTTTCAACGCCAATAATTATTACTAAAAAATTGTTATTATAGCTTAAAATTATTGTAACCAATAGAGGTATGTTGTACACAAACACCAGGGACCGTAAATAACAGTTACTTTTTTTCAACAGCTATACTTGGCCAGATATTTTTAAGTCGAAAATAAAAGTCCTTTCCTAATAATAAACAAACCGCTTATCCAAATTAAACAAGTTTGGTATCAACTGAAAGAGGACTAAAATAGCTTTAAAACTGAATTATTTAAACGACGAAAGCCAGGTAGTGAAAAATATTTAAATAAAAATGTTTTTTAATTACCATAGAACAAACCTTGGGTCAGGTATATGATTTTCTTTAGTATTAAATGATATAAAAAAAAATATATAAATAGAGGTGGTAACCTTCGTTCGTTATTTCTGTTTAAAAGAGCTATTTCAGTCCTGTTTAATTTGACACCAAATTTATTTAACTTGCATACGCGGCTTGTTTACTATCCGGAAAGACTTTTATTTCGAACTTAAAAAATATCTGGCCAAGTTTAACTGTTGGAAAAAAATAAATGCTATTTACGGTCCCTGACAAACACATAAATAGAAGTTCACAAAAGTTGATATAAAAGTATCATTATGAAAGGGTGCCTTGGCCCATAATCAAAATTTTTGAAGGTTTTTCAAATTCTGAGCATGCAACTAATCTTAAATCTATTAGTTTTACATACATGGATGATTCCCTCTAAGTTAATTAATTAATTTACTATTCTCTGCTGCCGCAGTACTGACTATCAAAGTCGAAAATAGTATAGGCATTTATCAATGTTGATGAAGACAATATTTTCATGTATTGATTCTTCTTCAAGTTACTAACATCTAAAATAAAAACTTAAACAACTTTTTTCTCAATTTTTTCACATTTTATTCGGTGGATAGTACATACTTCGTCAATAGACTGCCAGCCAATTAGTTGCATGACTAGCTTTTAACGGTCAAAAGGAGAATGATTTGTCACATAAGGACACTACTAACACATATACACATATGGCAGACTTCACAAGGTACACAAAGCAGCTTGACTTCAAATACAAGAGTGATAATATCAATATATGTAGATGTAAAAGAACGACAAGGCGCATCTATGAAATCTGGGGCAATCAAGCAGCTGTATGCCCCATTCATGTATGCCAGCTTTTAATAACTGTTTACAAGTTTATGTACCTAAATATATTTGCGTGAGTGTGGAAATATTCACGCAAAAGCGAATTTATCACCTGCATTCGCTAAAATGTGCCGCACAAATTCAAATATGTATTACGATTCAATGGCGAACTTTGCACCACAAAACGAACAAATATTCATATATGGATGCTTAACGTTTGTGTACTCACTTCACGCACAAATATGCAAAGTATGCCATAGGCAATAACCGCATAAGTCGATACCCCCAAATTCGCGAAAAAACAAAATGTTTTAAACATTTCAATTTTAAAGTTAGCCTTGCCAACATATTTTTGTATATAACTTTTTAAACAGCCTAGCTGGTGAGTTGAGCATTTCACATACACATGGATTAGTAGTTTGCAGAATACATTAGCATACATAACTCCATTCTTTCTTAAGTCGACTTAGGTGCTTATTGTGCTTAAGACCACAGAAATGGTAGCAATATGGCGCCATCTGCCATGTGTGCCACACTAGTTATCGCTATCAAATAAGAGCACCGCTAAAGCAACAAATTTCGAATCGAATACCCTGCAAGTTGCAATCAAGGCCATTCTCGAGCGCAGTTGCTGTACCCAAATATTTCAGTGGCAACCAGCAGAAACGTCGAGTTCAACAAATGCGGCAATAATTGCTGCAAACACTAAGGAAAGACTATTGAAGCATCATTAGTGTGTGACAAGCTCAACAGCCGACACAACAATTGCAACAACAAACACAGAAACAGCAACAACTCACGCACACACAGCAAACAATATGACATCGTCTTCCAAACCCCCTCCAACTGCAGAACCCCTCCATCGCATGGGTAATTTTCCTTTCAGCTTTTCCTCAACAAAGCAAAACATTCTATGTGACTCGATTTCACGGCAGTTAAGCAGAATGATGTATGTATGTATGTATGTATGTAGGTATGCGTTTGTGTGACTGTTTGGATTGTGTGACACGCACATCTATCTATAGGACTCACCTGGTGGCCAGATAACCGATGGCTGACTAGCTGGATGTCTGTTTGCATTGATCTTCTCACTGTTTTTGTTGTTGTTGTAGTTACCAAAGCGACCACATTTGCCCTCCAACGACCTTTCACCTTCTCTTCCCTCTCCCGTCACTCCCTAGTTGGCTGCTTGCTACCTTTTTGTCGTCTTGAGCGGCCAGTAAAGCGTTCATTTGCGCTCGTTGCGGTTGCCACTTTGTCAACAATTAAGCCGTTTATTGTTAGTGCACGCAACCACATACATACATACATATGTATGTACATACGTACTCAAAAGCTTATCATATGTGCATCATTTAGTATTATCCCATTATTCCCACAAAAGTGCTTATCAAAGTCCTCATTTTCGTTCAGGCCATGGGAAAAAATTGAGTACTTTCCCCTCAATGTTGTCATCAGAAAGTCCTCAGTACTAATAGTCAAACTACTCATTTATGCCGTACTACAAAAACAAAAGTGTAAATGAATTTTTGCCTAAAGTGCTCAGCAATGTCTTGTAGGGTATAAGCTTTCATTCGTGCATGCATTTGTATGTACATACGCCATTATTACCCCACAAAATATTCTCACGCAGGCTTCACCAAGCAGCCATACGCATACAAACAAATATTTCATTTTGTTGGTTTTAAAGTGCGTGTGTGTAATGCAGGTGCGTACCCAAAGACGGTTAGGGGTTTCGAAGAAAATCGATGATTACAAAATAGTAATTGCTTTATATGCAAGAAAATATTGAAGAACACATTCGAAGGAGAGGGCTTGGGGCCATAATTCGCAGAAAAAAGAAACAAGAACTAAATTATTGGATTTCTGGAATTTTTTGTCTAATCCTTCTTCTGCTAAGGAATTATTTCTAACTAACGGAAAAATATTTGAAATTGCAAACTTTTTTTATTTATTACCCCACATTCAAAAGACGCTTTTTCTCAGGGGTAAAAATTAAAACAAACCGTGAGAAAAAGCTCTTTAGAAATATTTAAAGTTCGACTAGTTACGAATCTGTTTTTGATAAATAATAAAAAGATACATTCGTTTAACATTTTTTTTTTATAAAATAAATATAAAATTTTCTTAATGCAATAAAAATTTGTGATCGAAAATTTTTCAGAGAAAAAATTTTTTAAGGCCATTTTTCGCATTTGTGTTCATATGAAAACCCAACATTAATTAAACCCTCTTCCAAAAAAAATTTCAGTGAGCCCTAATATAATGGTGTATATGTGCGCTCTTGCTACAAGCATTTGTGGCACTTGAATACGGCAAATGAGCTTCCGTTTATTAGAAAGGACGCAAATTATTTGCCAAAAAGTTTTTGTGTCACATATTCTCTATAAGTGCGTACAAATGGTGGAGGAAATTTATATTCCTTCACTTTTTTATGGTGTGTTATCTGTGTAAAGTTTCTGGGTAGTTTGTAGTTTGGCTCACGCGAAATGCAATAAAAATTAGATATGACGGACGGAGCAACTCACATAGGCACTATGACCACAGTTGATCTATTGAAACAGCGCTATTGGACTAAAAGTAATACCAAATTTGGAGAGTCGTGAGCGAACTAAACTATTGCAGAAAATTGTTCTTCGAAAAAAATTATTACGAGTCTTCTCAGGCAAAATATAACTTTGCATCGACTGTTTAACTTTCTCTGGAGAAAAATGGCGCAAAAAAAATGTCCCGCTAACGCCGGCCCAAACATTTAGTTGTCGTTCATCCAATCTTCTTTTATTTGGGTAATTTCCGTCCCCCAACTGCGGCAATTTGGCTTTTTAGTGGTCCCAGGGAATATCAAACAGACCTCGGCGGTCATCAATATTTGCTTATAAAAATCAGGTTCAGTGTTATTGTGCAATGTCACTGTTTCGACACGGTGTTTCAAATTGTAGCTAGTCATGATTAAAATTAAGTATATGAAATTGATATTTCAAAAACATGTCTACCCAAGTCAGTTGGCTCTTATTAAATATTCAACTGGTTCAGTATTTATATAATAATAATGTTTAGGCGTGTAAATTTTTTGCAAGGTGTTTGGACGAGCTCCCCAGCACCAGAAAGGTTAATTTTTACTGTTACACTGTGCTAGCTAAATTTTTGTCGCTAGAATTCTCTAAATGAATAACAGTA